CAGTAATCCAAATTAGATAAATTTGGTACCATTAGATTCGTCTCAATGAGAGAAATCCAATGGTACCAAAATTATTTAATTTAGAGTACTGGATCAAAAGATATAAGCAAAAAACTATTAATTTTATAGTAATTTCATATAAAATAATATAGCCAATAATTTTTTGCCAATATCTTTTGATTCAGTAATCCAAATTGAATAATTTTGATACCATTGGTTTCCTCTCACTAAGACGAATCCAGTGGTACCAAATTCATCTAATTTGGACCACTAGGTCACAAGATATTAATATTTTTATAAAAAAATTAGGTTATTTTTCTTTGACCCCCTCTAACTTAGCAAAAAACGTAAAAAAAACAATATTTTTGTGAAACCCCTTCCCCCTCTTGTATAATGTTATTTATGGATGCCCTCTTATAAGGAATAATTATTTAATAAAACCAATTTGGAAGTTGTTAATACAAGTTATAAGATATGAGAAGAAATTAGATATAATTAGTTAAAAATACAAAGCCAGATTAGCAAATAAACAAAAATACAAAAATTCTAATAGGTTTAGACTACAGATAAAGTAGTCTAAGCTTTGTATATCTGTAATAAAATAATCTATAATTAGATAATATATTGTAAATATATAAACAAATAACTATTGTAATAATAAAAAATTACAAAATAAAGTCTTATCTTAATACTAAAAAAAAACTATATTTAAAAACTTTACAAACTTTAAATGCTAATAATATTTAATAGAAAACAATATTATAAAAATAGGTCACTAGTTTGTAGTTTAACTAATTTACTACAACTTAGTGACTTTATTTTTTAAAAAATTATTGTATAATTTTCTAATTAATGAGTTTAAAGATATAATATTTTCAAAAAATTATTGTATAGTTTTCTAATTAATGAGTTTAAAGATATAATATTTTCATATGATTTATATAAATTTGACTAAAAATAGAACAAGTCACATGTTTTGGCTTGCTACTATTGGCTAATGTTTAATTTATTTTAAAAATATTTTTTAAAATATTTTTTATTAATTAATTTTTAGCTGATTAAAATGTAAAAATTTAAAAAAACATCAAATTTCAATATAAAAATTTTAAAAATAGGACAAATAACGTGTTTCTGTCTCTAGATGTCCTGCATTGTACAAAAATAATTCTTATTTTTAAATATTATCATATCAAATTTCACTTAAATACCTTAAATTGTTAAAAAAATAAATCAATAACATATTTATAGTAACAACACAGGCAAATTTGCCTGTGTTGGTCTACGATTTAAGGGATAATGATACATGATACATTAACATTATTCAAAAACACGTTTTTGTTAAATACTACTATTTTTTCTAGCAGGTTAGTCCAAAAAAATTTACCATTTCATGTAACCCGAGCTTCCGGACTTAATTAATTATGCCGAAAATCACCAAATTTTGGCGAATTTTACTAATACAGTAATAAACCCACTAACCGATGTACTAAGTAAAATTGCTCGGATCGTAATTTTGCTACGTATAATATTAGTTAGCTTGTACGTATTAGGCTTGTATTAGTTTTTCGCAGGTCTGATCCGAGGTCCGATCCGAGGTCCGAATCTGAATTGTCGGATCGAATTCCAGTAGCTCGGGTTACATGAAATGGTAAAATTTTTTGGACATCACTATTACGTAGTTATGCAGTTCGATTCGCACGACATAAAGATGCACTACATAACTACATATTAGACATTTTAAATTTATTAAAGTACTTTTAAATTGTTTTTTTCACAACTCCCATAATTTCCTGAATCAAAGCGGGAGGTAATAAATTTAGATCTATTCCAAAAAGACTATAAACATAAAGAAGAATATTAAAATCTATTTGCTAAAGGATGAATAAAATATGTAAAAGTGAAATTATAAATAAAAACAATAAATATAATAATAAAGTTCCCAAATTGGGGTGACAATTTTTTTATATTTGACAAATTTGAAGTTGTTAATAACCGTATTAAATCATTAAGAAATGCTTTCTCGGAAAAATTTAATGGCTTGTGTGAATCCCCGAATCGTATGACATGCATCTTTAAGGTTTTTAGACTTTGGTGTATCCCATTCATTATTCAAAATAAAACTTCTAGCATATCGGAAGCACATTTCTTCACGAAAATGTTCGTAAAGTCTTCTGTTAAATACTCTCTGTAATTTAAAATAAGAATTTTATCAAAAATAAAAATAAAAATAGTTATCATTGTATGATATCAAAAGTTACCTCATGTTTTCTTGCATTTTCTAGATATTTGTGTGTTTGATGAATTAAAAAGTCCTCAGGAAGTACCCAATAGTCAACACCAGAAAGATATAATTCAAATAGGCATGCAGCTTTATTTGCACCATAGCCAACAAATCGTTCGTCACACCTAAAATAGTAAAGCTAGATTTGAATTACGAACATCAAGGCAATAACCGAAGAAATAAAGATATACGGTACCATACGCTATGTTTCGGGAATATAACATAAGGTTCATACTGGTATTGATATTGCGTAACCTTATATAGCACGTTTGTATTATGCCACGCAGCGTAATTTGAGGGACCGTGGCCTGGTTTCCACGTGGCATGGAACATGACTAACCGTTTTGAATCAACTAATTCCAATGCATCCTTTTTCGTAGTTGGAAATGTACTATGATTAAGACCTTCATTCAAATCAGCGTACTCAAATGCAGGAACGACCAAAGCAGTATTTCCAGATCGAAGCATTTTCATGATCCTGGGGCTTCGCAGTATTTTTTGTCGGAAATTTGTGCAAGGATGAAAATCAACATCCAACATCATTATATAATTTGTTCTAGCAAAAAATTTTGCAACATTACGCCACATATTAAATTGCCGGTCAAATCTGTCAACAACAAGATGGACATCAACATATTTTTTCATGTACGGGTTGCCATTGTATAAGTCATTAAGAGATTTGAGCAGTTCTTCACGTGTCTCTTCATCATCACTAACATGTATTGTTACAGAAATTGGACCTGATTGGGCGTTCATGGGAAAACGAATGAATGACGGAGTATAAAACAAATTAAATGCCAAGAAAAATCATTTACCTTGATAGTTTGTGACGAGTCTATCAAAAACTGGAAAACGATTAGACGTTATTAACGTGGTAATAGTTATGTCTTCTTCATCGGGGGGATTATCAGCACGAAAATAATATGGAATTACATGTGAAGGTTGCATAGCTTCAGAGAAAGCTTTGGATAAGAAAAACTCTTCTGTCATAGAATCATATACGCCTATTTAAATAATATAATATTATATTAAACTTTTTTTTTTTTTAACCATAGTCTTTTTATATTATGAACACTATCCTAGGAACCATATTATCGAAACAATTAAATCAACATACCGCTATTTGAGTCCCAGGATAATCTATCTTGACCCCATTTAGCAGACGGTATTTCTAGCATTGGTTCATTTCGAGATTTTATGGTAATTAAGTCATTATAATTTGTATACATATGATATATGTAATTTGAGGTGTATATAGTAGATAATATTATGTAGACATTAAACAAGACTTTTATTGCTCTTTGAATGGGTTTTGTTCCTTCCACCCTTAGTTTAAACATCGCAAGGTAAGTCAAATTCAGAACGTAGGTCAGATAAGTAACTGCTGCCGCCTTTTTTTCACAAGGTCAACTTATGATAAATAGTTGTGAAAAAGTGCGGAGAGGTAGGAAATAGAGCGAAGTTCGAGATCAGCGAATGTATATTTACAAACTCTTTAGATCCAAAAGCGACACACTCGCTTTTTTCTTAAGATAAAAAGAGTTAAGGGAAAGAAGCGGAGGCTTAAAAGAAAGTAAATACGTTTTCCAGAATTCTAGAGATAATATGTGTATGTGTCACAAAATTGTGAAATTCGATTCTTTATATGCAATTTTATGTAGGCAATGCTCGTCATCGGAACTTTTAAAATCACATTATAAAACATTACTTCGTAAACTTTATATGCTATATGCAAATCGATCTTTGCGTAAATTGAAGCTTTAATTTTTAATTTTTGATAAAAATAAAAAGTTACGTACGAATAATTTATTATATCAAGATTAAAGATCACTAAAATTAACAGTTCACATATACGTATTCATTGATGAAAAAGTGCACGAATATATGCACATATTTATGGACGCTAATCAATCCCACTTCTGTAATTTTAATTAACTAAGTCTTGGCTCTCCTAACCATGAAAATGCATACCAATAAGGTTAATTAAATTCAAGGTTTTAAATTTTAAGGATTGTGTGATCAATTACATGCCTAATCAAGATTTTTGTGAGGTATACTTAACCTGATTCAATTCATTTTGTCGGATGGCTTATAAACTAACTATATCAAAATAAATAGGGGAATTTACAAATAAGGGCCCGAAAAGTGAAAATAATTATAAATACGGGCCCAAACTAAAAATAATTACATTTGAGGGCCTAATTTTTAAAAAATATTACATATAAGGGCCCAAAATAACTGCGATGATATTCAAGCCTGTGGCTTGATCG